GATTCTCTTCTTCAGCTTGAGCACCAGCGGGATGTGCTCCTTCAGGTCCTTTAGTTGATGTACTTACAGCAGGATCAAGACCATCTCTTTGTGGAGCTTCAGGCAGTTGTACCGTTGGACCAGCGATGTTTGCTGTAGATAGATCCATACCACCTACATCGGATCTATCTACAGCAACGTTATTACAAGTAACACTAGTACCATCACCAGGACATGTATCACCTTCAGCACCAGCAGGAGCAACAGGAGGAAGAGGAAGTGAAGGATGTGGAGATACTGATTGTGCTTCTGATACAGGAGAAGGAGTACAAGCACGTCCAGGAGTTTCAGGGGGGCACTTAGAACCATCAACACCATTCTGATGAAGAAGAATCTTTGTCTCACTCTCCGTATCAGGGACTTGGTCGGAAAGATCGGCGGCAGGCACTTCTTCAGCGAGGACGTGCACACACGCACAGGAGAGCAGGAGAGCGAGGATACACAGCACGTAGCGCATCATTGTGATTGCAAAACTTCTTGTAGTAGTCTTACTTGAATCGCTTACACACAAGAAAAACCCAATAATAAAAACAGATACAAAGTGAATCAATAAAAAACAAACACAAGATGAAAACAAATTACCAAATCAAACACCACTCAATAATTACAACAGAGGCACACACATTGCAGAAAACTGCAACCAAAACTCAGATAATGCCCAAACTAAAGTAAAAGCCCACACAGTACCCAATAACAAACAAATGATCCCAATTACCCCTCAAAAGATAAAAAAAAGAAAATAAAGAGAACGACCATCAGAAGCAGACAGCACAGAAATACATCAAAATGCCTCTTCCGATAGGACCAAGCACAATTACAAATATACATATGTGTATTCTTTATAAATTTTTTGTTACCACAAAAGACTACAACACACAAGAATGGAGGAAAAAGCACACAGTGCCCAAGCAAAGAAAATGAAAAAAACACAAATTAAGAAGAGGACCAACCCGCACAAAAATAACTCCCAGACCACTGAATTATGCTGATTGTTTCAAGTAATTACGAATACAAATTGTATTAATTACTATTTTTTTCTTTGCTCTTATAAAACAGATTACCACACACCATGCAGGGTAAAAACAAAGAATGACCCACACACACCAAAGCAAATAAAAAGGTATTAACCATTAGCCCAACATACCCAGTAAACACAGAAATACACCAACTATGGGTGTAAATCCATATGTATATATAAGCAATTATAAATATAATTTCATCTCTTATTATTATTTCCTTTTCCCAATCTAAAACGCAGATCATCATCATCATTACAGTGCAAGCCCAGGCACACACAGAGAGAGAGTCTCCAAGAACACACACACACACAATGGAGTAGCAATAATAATAATTATAGGAATAAACACAGTGAAAGCAAAAACACACACAAAACACACATGAACATTAAGAAACAATAAAAGAAGAATAGCCCAACAGGTGGAAGATTAGTTAGACTGTAGGGATGTATGCAAAAAAGAAAAACGAAAACAAAGGATGACCTGAGTCACACCATCACACCACCATCACAATCAGCACACAAGAATACAGGCCAGTGTAACCACAATCAGTAGTGGTACACGCACCCACACAGAACTGCTGATACTGCTGCTGCTGTCTGCATCACCCTTCTTGTTGTTTGTGAGTTCAGGAGGAAGTGTTGTTGTTGTTGTTGTGGTGGTGGTGGTGTTTTCTGTATTATCTGCAACACCTTCTTGGGTACTTGGTGATTCACTCTCTGTAGGTTTACTGCCATTCGCAGCCGTTGTACCATCACTCTCAACACCACTTTCACCGTCACTCGCTGTGGCTGAATTGTTGGGTGAAGAAGAAGTGGGTTGTGTTGCATCACCTCCCTGGTTAGCTCTACTCTCTTCTGTTGTACTGCCGCCGCTGTTTCCAGTTTGAGGGCCACTTGGAGATGTTTCTCTTCTCTCCTCATTAGTCGTAGATTGAGATGGAGGAGATACAGTAGGAGGTGCAGAAGAAGAGCCGGGTTCACTACCAGAATGAGTGCCAGAACCCTGCTCACTGCCAACTGCACCTCTTTCACCTGTAGGACCACCAGATACTGTATCTGGTCCGACGTCCTCAGTAGAACCCCTTTCATTAAGACCAGGCGCTTTCGGTGTAGTTGGCGCTGGTTCCTTCGGACAAGGAGACTCAGTAGTAGGAGTGCAATGTTCTTGAGTGTCACTACCCTCAGTTATGCATTTGTTTTCCTCTGTAGATTTCGTACAATCATGATTACGAGAATCTTCAGATCCCCTAGTGCTCTTATTACACTGTGGACCAGTCGTCTCTGAAGGACAAGCTTCATCACCAACAGCACCAACACCAGCAGAACGCGTTTCAAGAGCACCAGCTTCTTGAAGAGTCTGCTCTGCAGCCTCCACACCAGCCACAGCACCCACACAAGTAACGCTCAGCACCAAGAGAAGAAAAAACAGCACACGTTTCATCGTCAACAGAGCAAGATCAATTTTTCTTGTTTTAGGTCACCTAACTGCAGAAAAAAGGGAAAAGAAGATAAAAACAAGCACCCAATAGTAAAGAAACAGAGAGTCACAAAACTTAAAGAGCATACGTTAAGTATCAGTCACACAATACAACATCAACAACTTAAACAAAAAAAGTTCAATAAAAACTCACCACAAACACAGTGATGAAACAAACGCAAGAAAAAAATGAAATTAAGATCAAGAATAACTGCCCCACAAAACACATAAATAACACAGATCATTCGGTATAATTATGTTAATATGCAATTACGAATGAGAAGGTGTATCAGTTATTCTTAATTCTCTCTACAGAAAACAAACGACCAAAATGGCGCAGCGCAAAACACTATGACCCAGCAAACCACAAGCAAAAAAAAACATATTAACCATTAGCCCAATTTACACAATAAACACAGAAATATACAACAACTATGGGTATAAGTCTATATGTATGTATACGCAATTATAAATATAAATTCATCTGTTATTATTATTTCATTTTTCTTTCACTGCAAAAAAGCAGTTCATCATCATTATCACAGTGCAAGCCCAGGCACACACACAAAGAGAGTCTCCAAGAACACACACACACACACAATGGAGTAGCAATAATAATAATTATAGGATAAACACACAAACAGAGCAAAAACACACAAAACACACATTAACATCAAGAAACAAAAAAGGAAGAATATCCCAACAGGTGGAAGATTAGTTAGACTGTAGAGATGTATGCAAAAAAGAAAAGAAAACAAAGGATGACCTGAGTCACACCACCACCACCATTACTCAATCAGCACACAAGAATACAGGCCAGTGTAACCACAATCAGTAGTGGTACACGCACCCACACAGAACTGCTGATACTGCTGCTGCTGTCTGCATCACCCTTCTTGTTGTTTGTGAGTTCAGGAGGAAGTGTTGTTGTTGTGGTGGTGGTTTCTGTATTTTCTGCATCACCTTCTTGGTTATTTGTTGATTCACTCCCTGCAGCAGGAGTGTTGTTCTCAGTCGATGCAGCATCAGTAGCATTCTCAATCTCTGAAGTATTGGTAGGAGAGGTAGAAGTTTCTGCTGCTGCTTCACCTCCCTGGTTAGATGTAGTTTCTCCTGTTGGACTGCTGTCGCTGTTTCCATTTTGACCGTCAGCTGCAGCCACACTACTCCCATCAACAGGAGATGCAGGAGTGACACCAGTGCCAGGAGAAGCAGCTGTTGGACTATCCTGTGGAGTAGGAGAAGGACCACCAACAAAACCAGCTCCTGGACCTTGTCCTCCTTGAGCACCATGACCTGGGTCCACAGAATGTTCAGCTTCACCTTTTACTACCTGATGAACAGCACCAGGATCGCCAACTTCACCTCGCGGACCAGCATCGTTAACTCCTTCACCATGACCGTTACTTTCATCTCGAAAAGTAGTCTGCTCAAGGTGAACTTCCGGTTTTTTGGGAGCAGGAACAGGTACTTTTTCCTCAGGAATCACCTTTTTTGGTACCTCAAGTACTTTAGCAGGAGGAACTTCAGGTTTTTTGGGAGGACATGTGCCACCTCCGGTAGTTTCAGGGATGCACTGAGTATCTGGGGGATTTTGTGTTGCAGCTTGTTGTCCAGAAGGACAATTATCAGTAGTAACACCATCAGCGCACTGAGCAGTTTCAACAAGTCCGGCGACGGGAGTACCTTGAAGAAGAATCTTAGTCTCACTCTCCGTATCAGGGACTTGGTCGGAAAGATCGGCGGCAGGCACTTCTTCAGCGAGGACGTGCACACACGCACATGAGAGCAGGAGAGCGAGGATACACAGCACGTAGCGCATCATCATTACCATTGCAATACTTCTTGTAGTAGTCTTACTTCAATCGCTTACAGAAAAACAAAAAGCAGATAGAAAAACCAGAAACAAAGTGAATGAATGGAAAAAAACACAAAATGAGAACACATTACCAAATCAAATAACACTCAATAATTACAGCAGAGGCACACACATTGCAGAAAACTGCAACCATAACTCGGATAGAGCCCAAATTAACGTAAAAACGCACACAGTACCCAGTAACAAACAGATAATCCCAATAAACCCCTCAAAAGAAAAAAAAAGAAATTAAAGATCAGAACCATTAAAAGTAGACAGCACAAAAATAAATAAAAATGCCTCTTCCTGCATAAAACAAGCACACTTACAAATATACTTATGTATTCTTTATCATTTTTCTCCCCCACAAAATACTCCACCACACAACAATGCAGGAAAAAGCACACAGCGCCCAAACAAAGAAAACGTGAACAAAAACACAAATTAAGCAGCGGACAAATCGCACAAAAATAACTCACAGACAACTGGGTATGCTGGTGTGTTCAAGCACATAAGAATACAAATTGTATTAACTACTATTTTTTTCTTTCTCTGCAGAAAACAAACTAACAAAATCGTGCTGGGCAAAGCACACAATGACCCAGCAAACCACAAGCAAAGAAAGAATCTTGTATTAATCATTAGCCCAATTTACCCAATAAACACAGAAATATACACCAACTATGGGTATAAGTCTATATATGTGTGTATATATATGCAACTATAAATATAAATTCATCTGTTATCATTATTTCCATTTTCCTCTCACTGCAAAAAGCAGTTGATCATCATCATAGTGCAAGCCCAGGTGCACACACAGAGAGAGAGTCTCCAAGAACACACACACACACACAATGGAGTGGCAATAATAATTATTATAGGATAAGCATAGAGAGCAAAAACACACAAAACAGAATAACATTAAGAAACAAGAAAAAAAAAGAAGAAAATCCCAATAGATGGAAGATTAGTTAGACTATGGGGATGCAAGCAAAAAAAAGAAAAGAAAACAAAGGATGACCTGAGTCACACCACCACCACCATTACACAATCAGCACACAAGAATACAGGACAGTGTAACCACAATCAGTAGTGGCACACGCACCCACACAGAACTGCTGATACTACTGCTGCTGTCTGCATCACCCTTCTTGTTGTTTGTGAGTTCAGGAGGAAGTGTTGTTGTTGTTGTTGTTGTGGTGGTGGTGGTGGTTGATTCCTCACTGGTTGATTCACCCTCTGATGGTTTTGCAGCATTCGGGTCACTTTCAGCCTGATTATTCTGCGCTTCATCTGTAGGTATATTGCTGGAAGAAGTATTACCTGTACTTTGAGTTGTGGAAGTGGAAGAGTCCTCTCCATCATTCCGTTCTGGCCTTGTTGTGTGCGTGTTCTGTGTGTTGGCACCTTGTTCATTATCTCTCTGATCACTGTTATCCTGTGAACGATTTCCACTTGTTATCTCTCGAGTCACGGATTCATCACCTTTTGTGGTTCCTTCAGGATGTGATGTAGTAGAAAGAACTGCTGAAGAAGAAATACCAGGAGAACGTGAAGTTCTTTCAGGATCAGAAGTTTGTGCCTGATGGTTCTGACTTTGTCCAGCGTGATTATCCCTCTCAGACGGGTTTCTAACCTCTTGAGTATCTTCAGCATGCCTTTCTTCTGCGTCCCTTTGTGTTTGCTCCACGTTCACCTTAGGCCCTTTCAAATCCCCTTCTGGGCCCTTCAGTTCCAATTCATCTTTAGACACGAGACCACTTTCATTAGGGCCCTTGAGAGCAAGATCATTTTCAGGTTCTTGTTTGGGTTCCACACCTGATCTCCCATCTTCACCGCCACCACCATGAGGCTGACCCTTAGCACCAAGACCTTCACCAGAAGCAACAGGCTCTTCAGGAACATCCTCTCCAGCGGCCCCAGCTACAGCCTCCACACCAGCCACAGCTCCCACACAAACGACGCTCAGCACAAAGAGAAGAAAAAAAAGCACACGATTCATCGTCAACACAGGAAGATCTATTTTTCTTGTTTTAGGTCACCTAACTGCAGGAAAAAAAAGAAAGGAAAATAAAAACAAACACCCAATACTAAAGAACCTGAGAGGCACAAAACATAAAGAGCATACGTTAAGTATCAGTCATACAAAAACAACATCAACAACTTAAAAAAAAAAAGAAGTCATAAAACCTCACCAGAACACAGTGATGAAACAAATGCAAAAAAAAAAAATGAAATTAAGATCAAGAATAACTGCCACATCAAACGCAAAATTAACACAGATCATTCCGTATCAATGAGTTAATACGCAATTATGAATTTAAATGTGTATCAGCTATTCTTATTTCTCTCTGCAGCAAACAAACGACCAAAAGGGTGCAAGGCAAAGCACAGAATGCCTCAGCACAACAAAAGCAAATTAAAAGATATTAACCATTAGCCCAATTTACCCAGTAAACACAGAAATATACACCAACTATGGGTGTAAGTTTATATGTGTGTATATACGCAATTATAAATATAAATTCATCTGTTATTATTATTATTTCTTTTCTCACTGCAAAAAGCAGTTCATTATCATCATCATTACAGTGCAAGCCCAGGTGCACACACACAGAGAGAGTCTCCAAGAACACACACACATACAATGGAGGAGCAATAATAATTATAGGATAAAAACACAGAGAGAGCAAAAACGCACACGAAACACATTAACATTAAGAAACAAAAAGAAGAAGAATATCCCAACAGGTGAAAGATTAGTTAGACTGTAGGGATGCATGCAGAAAAGAAAAGAAAACAAAGGATGACCTGAGTCACACCACCACCACCACTCAATCAGCACACAAGAATACAGGCCAGTGTAACCACAATCAGTAGTGGTACACGCACCCATACAGAACTGATGATACTGCTGCTGCTGTCTGCATCACCCTTCTTGTTGTTTGTGAGTTCAGGAGGAACTGTTGTTGTTGTGGTGGTGGTGGTTGTATTACCCACATCACCTTCTGGGTTACTTGGTGCCTCACTTTCTGCAGATGTATTGTCATTCCCAGGTGAAGTTTCAGAGCTACCAACACTCTCTGTGACTGTATTGGTAGAAGAAGAAGAAGGCTGTTGTCCTGTACTCTCCTTGTTTTGTGGAGTTCCACCAGCTGTATTGTTGCTGCTTTCATCTTGACCTTCACGGACAGACGGAACACCACTCTCCTCAGCAGCTGCAGGAGCGGCAGGAGAAGAGGCAGGAGGAGCGCGATCAGCTTGGACTTCATCAGGTTTCTTAGCTGGACTCGTTTCTTTAATCGAACTGGTTGAAGCAGCGGCACCAGCTTCACTACCTGGTCCAGCATCCTCAGTAGTACTGTGATCACCGCGAGGAGCTGGTTCCTTTGGTGGACAAGTAGATTCAGTATTAGGAATGCATTTCTCTTGAGTGCCACTAGCGTTAGTTACACATTTGCCTTTCCCTGTAACTTCCGTACATTCATAAGGACGAGCATCTTCAGATCCCAGATTTTTGTTCTTGCACTGTGGATTAGCCTCGTCTTCAGGACAAGCACCACCAGCATGAGAAGGAGGAGGGTGTGGAACAGGAGGACCAGCAGGTGTACAAGGTTCACCCTCAGCAGAAGTTGTGTAACCATCAGGGCACTTGCCACCAGTAGTAAGAGGAACAGACGCAGAATCTGCCACAGCTGTCACACACAAAGAGACAACACTCAACAGCAAAGCGAGAAAACACAACACACGAGACATCATCACGAAAGCAAGATTTAGTTTGTAGTTATATGCCACTTGAATGCGGAAAGAAGAAGAAGAGATAAATATAATTAATACAAACACTCAATACATTAGAAACACACACAGAGAGAAACAAAGGAGAGCAGAACACAATAATCACTCACACAAAACAACATGAAGCGCAAACGAAAAATAATTAGTAACACCGAAAAGACAATACTCCAACATCACTCAGAGTACAACGAAAGAGTACCCCACAATATCCCAATAAGTAAGAGAGAGCCAAACACACACACACAATACTGTACAGCTCTAGATTATGTATTAAATTACTGCACACACACATCTGTGTGTACTAGCAAGAGATGTATACCGTCAGTGAGCAGAAAAGCCCAGTTTTTCTGCAAACACACAACGGAAAAAGCAAGTAATGGAATTATTAGAAAAAGAACACGCACACAAAAGTAAGAAAAAAGATATTCCAATTAAAAGAAAAAGCTGATAAACAGATTATTAGTTTATTCACCCATGGGGGATATGAGCAAATATGATAATGTTAGTATTACCATTATTATTATTTGTCCTCAGATGAGTCCCACCGTTCAGTTCAGGGTAGCGGAGAACAACACAACCACAATCAGCAGCGGTGCTGCAGTGCGCATCCACACAGGACTGACACTGCTGTCAACATTAGCCTTGTTCTTCTGTACAGCGGATGCAATAGAGGTGATCTCTCCGTTTGGTGAATGAACATGAGATGGAGTGGTAGTTGGTGCTTCTGTGGAAGTGCTCTCGAGGCTCGGCGGAGTAGTGTGATTGGTTTCTTCTGTGTCTGGTGCGACAGTTTCATCAACATTTGCAGGAGATGATTGCTGGGTAAGAGAACTGTTACCAAGTGCACTGTTATCCCCTTTGGTATTAGCTGACCTTTGAATATCTTGTGGTGCTGCATTAGACTCTTGAGTTGTGCTTTGTGTTGTTGTGGTACTCGCTCCTGTTTCTGCTTTAACTTCCTCAGCGTCAGTTAAACTTGGAGATGCTGGTCTTATATTGTTCTCGTGTTCTCCACCTTGTGGGTGGTTGTCCGGGGAAGCACTTAGAGTAGCGGTCTCACTTTCAGAAGGTCGTTGTGTGGATGTAATTCCTTGTTCTGATCCACTCCGTTGCCCCTGTACACCCACAGCTGTGACTTTCTCCTGTGCGATTACCATTTCTCTCTCAATAGTGCGAGAACCTGCAGCAGCGTCCTCTTCACTACCATGACCTGTTTTTTCATTCAATTTTTGGTTTAGTAAATTAGCATCTTCATGCGAATCGGTGTTGCGTATTTCAGACTCAAGTTGTGCTCTGCTAAGGTCGGAGCCATCCGATGCACCTGATCGTATGGAGTCTTCTGTGGATACCAGTGCTTTCTCCTCGAGTTGATTTTCAGATAGTGAAGTTGCAGAACTCGATGATGATGAACTCGTTCCACTTCGCGATCTATCCGGAAAAGGAAAACCCTCGAAACTACTACCGTACAAATCAGGTACATAAGGAAGTTGAGGAGCATCAGCAGGAGTTTGAGCAATCGCACTTCCACAGGCGCAGCACAGCACAACGGCCAACACACACATCACACGGCCCATCATCATCATGAGAGAGACACAAGGGGTTTGTTTCACGTAAAAACACTGATCTAGAAAGAAAGGCAATCAAAAAGAAAAAAAGAAAATAACTGAAGTATCAAACATGTTAAGACACACAAACATCGATTACCACTATGGAAACTCACATCGTGAAAGGAAAAACCTACAAGTTAAAGAATGCAATACAGCGCAATAACCTCAGTAAGAGTAAAAAGAAAAAAAAAAGCCCACACTCACAATTATCGCAAAAAAGGCTGAACAACCAAGAAAAATCATCAAGCAAACAAACAGAGATTAACCATTAGCCCAATTTACCACGTAAACACAGAAATACACCAACTATGGGTGTAAGTCTATATATATGTGTGTATACGAAATTATAAATATAAATTCATTTGTTATTATTATTTTCTTTTCACTGCAAAAAGCAGTTCATCATCATCATTATCATCGCAGTGCAAGCCCAGGTGCACACAGAGAGAGTCTCCAAGAACACACACACACACAATGGAGTAGTAGCAATAATAATTATTATAGGATAAACACACAGAGAGCAAAAACACAAACAAAACACATTAACATTAGAAAACAAAAAAAAAGAAGAATAAAACTCCCAACAGGTGGAAGATGAGTTAGACTGTAGGGATACATGCAAAAAAAAGAAAAAAAGAAAACAAAGGATGACCTGAGTCACACCACCACCATTACAATCAGCACACAAGAATACAGGCCAGTGTAACCACAATCAGTAGTGGTACACGCACCCACACAGAACTGCTGATACCGCTGCTGCTGTCTGCATCACCCTTCTTGTTGTTTGTAAGCTCAGGAGGAAGTGTTGTTGTTGTTGTTGTGGTGGTGGTGGTGGTGGTTGTATCTGTATTTCCTGTAACACCTTCTTCATTTTGGTTGTTTTTCGATTCACTCTCTGCAGATGAAGTATTATTCTCAGTCGCTGTAGCATCAGAACCAGCGGAACTCCCTGTGGCTGAAGTGTTGGGAGAAGGAGATGGTTGTGTTGCTGTTTCACTTCCACCTTCAGCTGTAGGCACATCAACACGCTCCTCAGCAGAAGGAGATGTGGGAGTAACTGGTCCATCAGGAGCTTGTGCAGGAGGAAGAGAATGTTCATTATCTTCTTCTCTTGGAGGTTGTACGGAGTCTTTACGACCAGGTTGATTTTCTGCGGGTTTATTAAGCTCTTCTTTTCTCTCTTGATCCAGTTGAGGTATCTCTTCTCCTTGCATCGGTTCTTTCTCTTTATGTAAAAGATCCCCAGAAGAATCTTTCATTATTTGACTATCTCTGCTAAGAGCATTCTGATCTACAGTGGATGGATGGACATGACCACCTAGACCGTTATTCCCTCCACCACCTTGAGGTTCTGGAAGAGAAACTGTAGAAGGATCAAGAGAACCAGAAGGACCGGTCAAAGCCGGAGTAACACCAAGTTGTTCAACACCTTTACTGAGATCACCTTGAGGACCAGCAACACCACCAGGTGTGTCTCCTTTAACAAGAGGTTCTGCTTGTGCTTTAGCAAGACCAGAAGAATGACCAGAAGGACAATTACTACTATCAGAACCAGAAGGAGAAGAACCACCAGTACCAGGACAAAGGGTATCAGGAACAACCTCCTCCTCAGCTTCTGTTGGCAGGGTTCCCCTCAACTCTTCCTTATGCGCTTTGTGCATATTAGCAGCCTCTCCAGCTTCGCCAAGACCTCCCCCCGAAGGAATAGCATGATGAAGAAGAGAAGAATTACCAACAGCAGAAGTTTTAATAAGGACATCAGAAACTTTAGGACTATCAGCCCATACTAACCCACAAGCACAACAAAGTGCAAGAGTTAGTAAACAGAGCAGATAGCACCTCATCATTAGAGCCCCTCTCATTGTTGCTGATTACTACAATAGACTAATACAAGAAAGAGAAACACAAGGAAAAAGTGAGATAGCAACAAACAAACATACACCAGAACAACAAGCACTAACAGTGAAATAGAGAGAAAAAGAGAGAAGCGGCAACTGCACAGTAAAGCAACAAAAAGGAATAGCCCACTTGTATTATAATAATATGTACCCCTTAATAGAAATGAAACAAAAAAAGAACATACAATACCCAAATAAGAGAGAGAGCCAAACACACACACAATATCCCACGGTTCTAGTTTATATATTAAATTACTCCACACACACACACATCTGTGTGTACTAGCAAGATATGTATACCGTCAGTGAGCAGAACAGCCCAGTCCTTTGCAAACACACAACGGAAAAAGCAAGTAATGGAATTATTAGAAAAAGAACACACACACAAAAGTAAAAAAAAAAAGATATTCAAATTAAAAGAGAAAGCTGGTAAACAGATTATTAATTTATTCACCCATGGGGAATATATGCAATTATGATTATGTTAGTTTAACCATTATTATTATTATTATTTTGTCCTCAGATGAGTACCACCATTCAGTACACAGTAGCGGAGAACAACACAGCAACAATCAGTAGCGGTGCTGCAGTGCGCATCCACACAGGACTGACACTGCTGTCAGCATTGGCATTCTTCTTCACATTGGAAGTGATGGTGTTGGTCTCTGTATCGGTTACGGGAACAGGTGATGGAGTGGTGGTTGGTGCTTCTGTGGTAGTGTTCTCGGGGCTCGGCAGAGTCGTTGAATTGGTATCTTGTGAGTCTGGTACGGCGGTAGCATCAAGAACAGGAGAAGATTGCTGGGTAGCATTAGAATCGGCAGGTTTACTGTTATCAGATGTGTTGCTCGGTGTTCCTTGATCACCTTGTGGTGCTGCATCACCTTTTGTAGGTGGAGTAGACCCCTGAGATTGGCTTTCTTCTGTCGACGGACTTGTTACTGTTTCTCCTTTAACCGACTGATGTTGTGCTTCAGAACCCTCAGGGCCACTGGGTTGCAAATCACCATCACGACCAACTTGTGATGTAACCAGTGGCTTTCCTGTTTCTACTTCAGCTGCTGGATCACCGTGTTGGAGACTATCATTTAGCTGTGTAACGTGCGGTGAAGAGCTAGCATTACTTCCTCCACTGGAGTGATCCCCTGCTGCTGGACTCTGGAATGACTTCGTTCCTACTTTACTCGTCTCAAGTAATTTCCTCTTCCAACACGGTACACCATCAATAGTAGAATAGGGGTACTTATCACAATAATGATCATGGCTTGCTTTTACAAGAAAATCTTCGAATCCCGCAGAATTTGAACTCGCCATCACCTTTTTCTTTTTTTTCACGTCCTCAGCCGACTCATTATAGTAACGAGGATAATTCCAAGTAATACCAAAAAACGCCATCACCGCCTTTGGCTGTCCAGCAGTAGCAGCGGTGGTAGTTTTTGTTGTTGTTCTTGCTGCTCTTGCGGTACGCTGGCGGCAGAGGTCGGCGTACTTCCCACATGCAGACACACGGCTGCCCGCACCGCATGTAAGCCACTCGCTCTCAGCAGCGGGGCGTACACGCAGCGCACCGCCGGCCCCGCACGACACCTCCACAGCCCCACGGGATACACCACGGCCAC